CTATTAAAGATTCAAGCTGTCAACTGTTCATGTGTAATTTACTTGCCCCCCCTGCTGGCGTAAAGACCTCATCACAGTGAAACCCATTCGTTTCTATGGATACTGTAAAAATGTCTCTTTACTCATTTTCCTGAGCTGCGTTCGTGCTGCAGGTGATAATGTCCTGATGGTTTCTCACAGAGGAATAATATGATGTTATATAATGCTGTTCTCTCACATCTAACAGCAGGGAACAAAAGTTAAACTTCATTAAACGCAGTAACATCGGTTTCATTATCGTGACTTAAGTGGAGAAAACTCGTGTTTAGCTGCAGCTACTGCACCTGTTCCTGTTTAATGTTTAGCTTGAAACAAATGGTAAAGTCCCTGTATTTATATTGTACTGACCACTCAAAGCGCTTTAATACTTTTATTTATTACTTTTATTTATAAGCTGTGATTTTTCTATCAGAAGAACAAAAGATGAAAATGAAATTTGTAGTAATTGATGTCCACAAATAAAGTGACAGCAGGACAAACGTTTCTGGTTTGGTTTGTGGTTTAAGTTTGTGAAGCCACTACAGATTTAACAGCAACAGTCAAGGAATCTGAACTCATATCTTTAGTTATTATAAACAATAAAGAGCGTTTATTCTGTTTGTGTCCCTCAGGCCACCAACCTGATCACGAAGAAGGAGCTGCTGACCATGGACCCCGACACAGACGACGGACAGCTCGTGTATGAAATCACCACTGAGCCCAAGCACGGATTCCTGGAGAGCAAACTGAAACCTGGCAACCCCGTCACCACGTTCACACAAGGTGCGGCCCTAATGTTTGATTTTAGAAGAACCTGTAGACTTTTAGAGTTTGGAGCGGTGAAGAGTGGAAGACTGAACTCCTCCCTGTGTCTTTCCTTCACGCAAGCTTTGGTTCAAAACCACCTGAGCAGCCGTGGGAGTGTTTTTTCGTCCGGTTTCCCCATCGTCCGTCTTCTTTTCAGTTAGCATCAGCAGTATTCTCATCACGAGCCTGCTTATCTCCACCTCCAGGCTGCAGCCAGGGATCAATGTCAGCCTGCTTTTATGAGATGTTGATCCTTGCAGCTGTAGAGCAACTCCTAACAGGCACTTTGATGTGCTGCATTCTGTGACTGGAGCCTAAACATCATTTTATTAATGATAAGAAATGTGAAAACATGAATAAAGTGGTTTTGGGATTCACTTATGAAAACTTCCTGCCGAAGATATCTCCACGTTTACGCTCACATTCTGCTGCGTGTTTACAAACAGGATGTTGTTGTTCACTTTGGTCTGAACCACAAGGTTCCTCGGACCAAATAACAAACCTAAATTTACTCCGACCAAGCGTGGCGATCTCGGTGAGGATCAAACAGAACCATTGTTCGGTTCGTTTGCTGTGTAACAACAATTTTTCGGGCTTTTGAACCTGCGGCAGGACAGAAGAAAAAGGAGGACGAAGCTGCTGCAGTCTTTACCTCCGACAATATAACGATATCACTGTGCCAAACAAATAAGTGATGATGACAGGACGTACATATGTCAAAATTCTTCAGAGCGCTCCCTTAATTATAAGGTGGAACCAAAACTAACCAGATCAAATGGAGCAAACACATGAAGCCTGGTTCAGAAAACGCATAAGTGACTTTCCGCAGGTCATTTGATGAGAGTTCTAACACACGGATCCTTTCTTCATCCCTTTCCACAGCTTCCAGCTCTCCATTACAAACTATTGCTCCTCTGCAAAGTGTAAATGAGCACCAGTGATGACTTTCATCTTTATTCTCAATTTCTTCTTTTAATTTCTCCCAAGTAATGAGAAACAGGCCACAGGCTGCACATAACGCAATCAGTAATTCACAGGAAATAAATTTCCTCACCAACGCTTTATCTTTATTATTATTAAGACCCAAACCCCAGAGCGCTGGTCTTTTATTTTGGTTGTGCCTCTCCACACAGGAAGCTTGTGGGTAAACAACTGATAACAGAAATGTTCCTGCTCCTGATCTGTGGTGAGGTGGTGACCAGCAGGAGGTTTGAAAACAAAGACACACAAGAGACAAAGACGTTCGCTGGTTTTCACTCTGACCTCGTTTCTTTCCAGCCGACGTCAACCTGGGTCTGATCCGTTATGTGCTGCACGAGGAGAACGTTCAGGAAACCATGGACACCTTCAAGTTCCTGGTCAAAGACAGTAAACCCAACGTGGTCAGTGACAACGTCTTCCACATCCAGTGGTCCCTCATCGGCTTTGAGCACAAGAGGTCGGTATCATGACGCCTTCAACAAAACAGACAGAAAATGAAATGACTAACATGGTGGTTCCACAGCTACAACGTGAGTGAGAAGGCCGGCACGGTGGCGGTGACGGTGAAACGAACAGGGAACCTCAACCAGTACGCCATCGTGCTCTGCCGCACCGAGCAGGGCAGCGCCACCTCCACCAGCAGCGTTGGATCCAGCCCAGGACAGCAGGACTATGTGGAATATGCGGGACAGGTAATATTGCAATACTCACTAATTAAAAACAAAAGTATGATTTTATTTTTTCTCACTCTCTTCTCCTGCGCTCACAGGTACAGTTCGATGAGCGCGAGGACACCAAGGTGTGCACCATCGTCATCAACGACGACAAAGTGTTTGAGGGAATCGAGAGCTTCCACGTGGAGCTGAGCATGCCCGTGTACGCGCTGCTGGGCGGGAACACCCGCGCCATCGCCAACATCAACGACACCGAGGACGAACCGACTCTGCAGTTTGATAAGAAGATCTACCACATCAACGAAAGCACCGGATTCATCCACGCACCCATCGAGAGGAAAGGTGAGCAGCAACTGTACAAACTGCAGAGGAGGGTTCTAACGTTCCAGTCACAATACATTTTACTGAGGGTGTGATCTAACCAGAGGACCTCTTAGATTTTGATGGTCAAAGGTCTCCGGTGTCTCACAAAACGTGTTGTCAGCCTCTTGAATGCGAGTCCTCCAGTCGGTACTGAGGGGATTTCTTCAGAGCGCAGTAATTCTAGTCTACCATCAGTGACCCTCCCTCTCCTGCCTCATCTCCCCGCAGGTGACACCTCCAGCACCGTGTCCGCTCTCTGCTACACCGTCGCCAAGTCCGCTCAGGGCAGCAGCCTCCACGCGCTGGAGTCCGGCTCCGACTACAAGAGCCGCGGCATGACCGGTGACAACCGCGTCATCTTCGGCCCCGGCATCAGCATGTCCACCTGCGACGTCAAGCTCATCGACGACAGCGAGTACGAGCTGTCCGAGGAGTTCGAGCTGGTGCTGTCGGACGCCTCGGACAACGCCCGCATGGGGGACGTGACGGTGGCCAAGGTCGTCATCGATGGACCCAATGATGCGTCGACTGTGACTCTTGGGAACGCCACCTTTACTTTCAGCGAAGATGCAGGTCTGAGTTTCACTTCTGTTTTTCATCATTTGTTTTGTTTTTCGTCTCGAGAAATTCTGAGAAAAGAAAGTTAAACTTTGTCTTCAGACGTCGCAGGGAAGTAAATTATTCAAGTGAAAAATGTAATGATCTCTGTGGGGAAATTAGGATGAAAGGGAGAAGAGTCGAAACAAGATTGTCTTTGGAAAACAAAAGTTAAACAACTGTGCATCAAAGAGTCTAAGAATTAATTCCAGACCAATAATTCAGTCTGAGCTGTTTCAGAAGTAATGAAAGCAGTATTACCAATAAGGGAAGTACACGAGTATTGTGAATCAGCTGCCTCCATGATCCACAATGTTAAAGAAAATGTCACATTACTAGAAAGATTTATTGTAAATCTGCTGCTTCAGATTTATCCACTCGCTTCTCTGCCGTGCTTCTGTTTCCTCTCTTCCTCTTTTTCTGACACGGGTTAAATCTTGAATAAAGGCATCAGCCACGCGTCATTTAACACCCGGCACAATTAGCCACTGCAAAACGAAGTTGCTCAGTCAATTTATTCCGCTGCGATTAGTTCCCGACTTAATCATTTAAAAATCGTGGAGCGAAGCAGAGTCGGACTCAGACTCACTGAAGGTCGTCTGATGTTTTAACTTCTCGTTTGTTTGTCTCAGGATTCATCGATTCTTTAAATTAAACGTGATCATTTTCAAACCTGCTTCTCGTGAACTTCAGGCACAATTGAAATACCGGTGCTGCGTCACGGCAGCGATCTGTCCTCGCTGACGTCTGTGTGGTGCGCCACTCGACCTTCAGACCCCCCCTCAGCCACTCCGGGGGTCGATTACATCCCCAGCTCCAAGAAGGTGGAGTTCAAACCTGGGAAAACTGAGGAGGTGAGGACTCTGTCTCTGCAACACACTGTCAGATGGTCTCATTACAAACGTCCTCTACGCTTATTCTTCATTCTGCTGCCTCTTTTTTTAACAGACCTGCAGTTTGACCATCATGGACGACATCCAGAACCCGTCCATCGAAGGGTCCGAGTCCTTTGTGGTCTTCCTCAGTTCTCCACAGGGGGCGGTTCTACAGGAGCCATACGAGGCTAACGTCGTCATCACCGACACCTTCCAGGACAGTACGTAATACTCATTTTCTCTTTTGATAGACGATAGAGTACTTTTACTTGTACTTTTTATTTTACCAGTATTTAGAAATTACAGCCAAAATTTCTCTCCCTCTCAGTTCCCAGCATGCAGTTTGCGAAGACCGCCTACACCGTGAAGGAGAAGGACAGCGTCCTCCACATCCCCATCATCCGAACCGGGGACCTGTCCTTCAAGTCCTCAGTTCGATGTTTCACCAGGACCATGTCCGCCATGGTGATGGACGACTTCGAGGAGAGAAGAAACGCAGACGAGTCACGAATCACGTTCCTCAAAGGAGAGAAGGTAGAAGTCCGTTTATCCGTCTGCCTGTTTTTTATCGTTGTCATTATATTTGCTCATTTAAATGTTTTGTCGTTTCCCAGGTGAAGAACTGCACCGTCCACATCAACGACGACTCTGTGTTCGAGCCTGAGGAGGAGTTCCAGGTGCATCTTGGGACGCCGCTGGGGGACCACTGGAGCGGCGCCATGGTGGGCGTTAGCGACATCGTCACCATCACCATCACAAACGACGAAGATGGTACGCAGGAGCGCAGTTATTTTGAATCCCACCAAGTGATGGTGGTCTTAACTCACCACCAGGGGGCAGCACTGTGACTTTTCATCTTCTCCTCCTGCAGCTCCCACCATCGAGTTCGAGCAGGCGTCCTATCAGGTCAGAGAACCTCCTGGTCCGGACGGGATCGAGGTGTTAAACATCAAGGTGGTCCGAGGCGGAGACCTGGACCGGACCTCTAAGATCCGCTGCAGCACCCGGGACGGATCGGCCCAGTCCGGCGTCGACTACAACCCCAAGAGCCGAGTGCTGAAGTTCACCCCTGGTCAGTTGCTGAAAACCATCACGTGGATAAAAAGCTAATTTACGAACACGTTACGAACACGTTACGAACACGTTACAAAACGTTGCGATGTGTCTGATTTCTTTGTTCCGCAGGTTTGGACCACATCCTGTTCAAGGTGGAGATTCTGTCCAATGAGGACAGGGAGTGGCACGAGTCCTTCTCATTGGTCCTTGGCCCTGATGACCCCGTGGAGGCGGTGCTGGGGGAGATCACTATAGCAACCGTGACCATTCTGGACCAAGAAGCTGCGGGCAGCCTCATCCTCCCTGCCACACCCATCGTAAGAAAACTTCAACGTGACAATTCGTGTATTTAAACGCAATGATGATGTAACTACTACTCACACCCCCAGGCTCCATTTAACTACTGTTTTATAACATTTACACAAAACGGAAAGGATACAAAGCAGGACGAGTAGAAGGAACCAGGATACGGAGCGTTGTGGTTTGTTTCCTGCAGCTCTGACGGCGAAACATGTTTTTTGAATCGCTTCCAGATCCGACAAAACGAGAAACATCTCCACCCGAGGCAAAACCCCGTCTCTCCTCTCATGAATATTCAGTAGCTGTGAAACAGCGGCGTTTCACTTCAGGCGTTTGTTTACAGCTTTTGCATTTAAATACATTAAACAGGTTGTGTTCCTTCACCATTCAAGTATTAGGTGCTGGGTGATTTTACACTAAACGCCTTTTAGTGCCTCAGCAGGAGCCTCATCTCTCCCGGGAGCATCTTCATGAAACAATCCAATAAAGAGGAGAACATCACTGATCCTTCCTCCTTCCTCCTCAGGTGGTCTCGCTCGCCGACTACGATCACGTGGCCGAGGTGACGAAGGAGGGCAGTAAGAAGACTCCCTCTCCAGGGTACCCTCTGGTCTGCGTCACCCCCTGCGACCCCCACTACCCCAAGTACTCTGTGATGAAGGAGCGCTGCGAGGAGGCCGGCATCAACCAGACACAGGTTCACTTCTCGTGGGAAGTGGCGGCGCCCACCGACACCAACGGAGCACGCTCGCCTTTCGAGACGGTCACGGACACCACGCCCTACACCGGCGTCAACCACATGGTGAGTGAGACACGTTCTCAGTGGCTCCAACACGGTTTGACGGTATACATATTATAAATGTACCGTTTCCTCCTGTGTGTATATCTATGTGTATATATATATGCATATTTTCATAAATGTATGTTGTGTGTATGTGTGTATTTGTACATATACTGTATATGTATATGTGTGTCTTCCAGGTTCTGGACAGTATTTACTTCAGCCGTCGTTTCCATGTCCGCTGTGTGGCTCAGGCGAGGGATAAAGCCGGTCACCTTGGAACGCCACTGAGGAGCAACATCGCCACCATCGGCACCGAGGGCTCCATCTGCCACACGCCTGTTACCACGGGAACCGCCAGAGGCTTCCAGGCTCAGTCCTTCATCGCCACACTCAAATACCTGGACGTGAAGCACAAGGAGCACCCCAACCGGTGAGCAGGGACGGGCGGAGGAACATCTGCTCCGCAACTTTATAAACGTGTTTTATTTATCCCGCTCTGTCTGGTCCCTGTGTAGGATCCATATCTCGGTGCAGATCCCCCATCAGGACGGCATGCTCCCCCTGGTGTCCACCATGCCTCTGCACAACCTGCACTTCCTGCTGTCGGAGTCCATCTACAGGCAGCAGCACGTCTGCTCCAACCTGGTCACCCTCAAAGACCTGCAGGGGCTTTCAGGTGCGTCGCAAACATGCACCACAATAAACACACATGAGATTATACCTGCGAATCCCTGAAACATCAAAAATCCCTCTGAGAACCAAAACATTTTACATTTAAAGCATCAATCTGACGTCAAGTAAATCAGATTGTCCTGCAAGGGGGAGACAGGTTTTCTCATGTTTATACACACAATGTGTCCTGATGAACCTTTCACCACCTTTCAGAGACCGGCTTCCTGGACGACGTGTCCTACGACAGCATCTCTCTGGGGCCCGGTTACGACCGTCCGTACCAGTTCAACCCCAACGTCCGGGAGACCAAGAGCATCCAGCTCTACAAGCACCTCAACCTCAAGAGCTGCATCTGGACCTTTGACGCCTACTATGACATGACCGAGCTCATCGACGTCTGCGGGGGCTCCGTCACCGCCGATTTCCAGGTACTTTCTGTGGACGCCATATATGAACCAGACAGAAAAACACCTCAGCAGATGTTTGGTCAGTTCTCATGCAGATGTTCAAACCTCAAACATTATTCTGCGAACGTGTAGGCCTTCAGGACAGAACGTTCTTGACGCTGGAAACAATGAGATGCTGTTTTCAAGGTCAGAGTGAACTGTCGACTTTAATCAGTTGTTGTTCAGCTCACCAACGATCTGACGGCCGAGCGACTCTCACATAAATTCAGTTTTCTAAAAACTGCTGACAACCGAGAAAAATAAACGAGCCAAAGTTAAAACGTCCTTTGGAAATTGGAAAAATCTCAGGTCTGAATAAGATAAGATGGATGAAAAAAAATCAAAAAGAAGAAGTACTCAGCATTAAGAACCGACATTAAACCGTTGTTCTTCCAGGTTCGGGACTCGGCTCAGTCCTTCCTGACGGTGCAGGTTCCGCTCTATGTGTCTTATATCTACGTGACGGCCCCTCGAGGCTGGGCGTCTCTGGAGCATCACACCGAGATGGAGTTCTCTTTCTTCTACGACACCGTTCTCTGGAGAACAGGTGAGAGGACGACAATGACTGTTTGGCTTTTATGAGCAAATCATAATATGAAGAGTGAAGTTGATGCACGTCTCTCATCATAGATTTCCTCTTGATCTACATTTTCTTTTATTTCAACCAAGTCTCTTTATTTAAATAAATACAATTATAGAGACTCAGCCAAGTATTTATAAAAACATTTACCATCAAGAATTATTTTTTGTGTGATATTGAGAGTAACCACATCTCAGAAATGTTCATTTAATCATTTTATTAGTGTGACCCATAGACTGCATCTTAAAGATGGACAACATGTCTCCACTCTCCAGAAAGACAAAATATCAAGGATACGATTGTTGCCATCAACAAGTTCCAATCATTTTGGTCCATGTCCCATTCACTAACATGGAGAAAGCAGTTCATCCTTATGCACAGAACATACAGTCTAAAAAATTTACTTTTTAATTTCATTTGATATCACGTAGAGATGCATTTGATCCGTGTTTGCAAACATCACGACACCTGACATGAAATCATCGGTATCTGACCTCCGACCTTTGGTGTCTCACGTCTGCAGGAATCCAGACGGACAGCGTCCTCTCAGCCAGACTGCAGATCATCCGGATCTACATCCGAGAAGACGGACGACTGGTGATTGAGTTCAAAACCCACGCCAAATTCAGAGGTTCGCTCCGAAGAAAACTCAGAGACATCTTCAGTTTTGAGATGCTCCCAGCCTCTGGGTATAAAAACACACTTTCCTTCCGTCTAACCTCCAGGTCAGTTTGTCCCCGAACACCACACTCTCCCCGGCCACAAGTCCCACCTGATGGCGCCCGACCACCTCGGAGGCATCGAGTTCGACATGCAGCTGCTGTGGAGCGCCCAGACGTTTGACTCGCCGTACCAGCTGTGGAGGGCCACCAGCTCCTACAGCAGGTCAGTGCATCCACACACAGCTGCAACCAGGGGGTGCTATGTCGTCTGAAAACTTAATGCTGACGTTAGGATTATTTATTAATTCTTATTTTATTAGTCGACTTTGCTCCGTTACTCACGTTCATTTACATGCGACGCGTCTCCGGTTGAGAGTCCCGGAACAGCGCATGGACTAGTGTCACATGATCAAACTAGGGCTGCTGGGAAACGTGGAAGGACAATAATCTAAATTTAGAATCTCGTCAAGGCTTCTAAGGATTTCCCATCCAGAGATACTGTTTTTTGATGGACAGAGAAAATGAATCCTCCTCTTTTGATGTTTACCCTCCGACAGGAAGGACTATTCTGGAGAGTACACCGTCTTCCTGATCCCCTGCACCGTCCAGCCTACTCAGCCGTGGATCGACCCCGGGGACAAAGCTCTGTCCTGCACGGCCCACGCTCCGGAGAAGTACGTCCCAGCACAGCCTGCACGCACGTCCAGCTGTGTCGAGTTTATAATGAAACCACGGCTGTAACATGAACCGTTCTGTCGCACTCCGTCAGGTTTCTGGTGCCGATCGCCTTCCAGCAAACCAACAGGCCCGTTCCTGTGGTTTACTCCCTCAACACGGAGTTTCAGCTGTGTAACAACGAGAAGGTTTTCATGATGGACCCGGCCACCGCTGACGTGTCCATGGCTGAGATGGACTACAAGGGAGCGTTCTCCATGGGTACGGCGGGAGGTTTAAACGCTCCTCATACAGACACTTAACTTTCCACCTCTCTCTGGAAAAGAAATGGGCTTAGGACACTGTGCTGGAAGGAATAAGTGCAGCACTGACACTAGAGAGAAGTAGTTTTGAAACACTAGGTGGCGTTATGAGCCACGTTCAACCAATAGATGTAGATTTTTGTAATGCATTATTGTATTTCATCGTAGAACGTTTTATTTACTTTACAGTTCAAAAAACAGATTTAATTGTGCAGTATCACTTTCAATATTTGTTAGATTTTTGAAAACCATTTCCTCTGCCGCCCCCTGCAGGTCAGACTCTGTACGGCAGGGTGCTCTGGAACCCTGAGCAGAACCTGAACGCAGCCTACAAGCTGCAGCTGGAGAAGGTTTACCTCTGCACGGGCAGGGACGGATATGTTCCTTTCTTTGACCCCACGGGGACGCTGTACAACGAGGGGCCGCAGTACGGCTGCATCCAGCCCAACAAGCACCTCAAACATCGCTTCCTGCTGCTGGTACACAGACTTGGTTTCTCTGGACTGTGATGCATTCAAGATGTTAACCAACAGCAGGAGAACAAACACTTTTTATAGTTTGACCTGCTGCACCATGTGAATCCAGCGTGTTATTTAAATGACTGACCTTCTTCAACACGCAAATCTCCTCTACTGTCGCACATTTTCTTGCATGTGCAGCATATTTCATGTCGGCTTATAAACTATGAGGCAGAAATGTGAAATCACTAACTTCTCAACCTTACAGTGCTTCATCTGGTTCTGAATTCTGCTCCAGGTCCTCGGAGCTCTGATCATTTTCTCTCTTCGTGTTGCAGGATCGTAAACAGCCGGACGTGTGCGACAACTACTTCCACGACGTTCCCTTCGAGGCTCAATTCGCCTCAGACATCGTGGAGCTGCAGCCCATGGCGGCCATGCCGGGCGTCGATGGCTTTACCATGAAGGTCGATGCTCTTTACAAGGTGCGTGGAGTCGCCTGCGATGCATCTGTGTCGAGCAGCGGCGTCGTAATAACACAACATTTTCTGATGAGCCTGTAAAAATGAAAAGTAGACGAAGGACAAATACAGACAAACTTCCGAAAAACTGAATCCAATCTCATATTCCTCAGCAACAGTAGGTCCATGGAGTGTGTGGGGGTGGGTGTGTATGCATATGCATATAAGGGTGCATGAAAACAAAATATAAGGAAGAGAACAAACTGAGACTAAAACAACAAAACCCAGCAGCTGCTTTTAGTAAATTATGGTTGGAGAAACAACAGTGATCTTTTGATATACTCTATCCCGGCCGCACCCTGACACCAAACAGGATGAGGGGACCGGAGGTGCGGATGCTAGCGTCACATCCACAGAGGACTGTCTCCAGTTCAAACCTCTTTAATTCAGTGTTTACTCTGACATGTGAAGAGGAGCTGATTACATTGTGGTGGTTTAAGTCAAGAGTCGCCATAACACGGATGATTACTTACTACACCAAAATAAACAGATCACCTGAAATGTATGCCGACTGGTTGGAGGAGCAGAACAAATTCTGTTTTATTCTCTCATCCGGGTCAATTTAAGATTAACGATGTGTTAACGTGTGTGTGTGTTGATTGACAGGTGGAGGCGGGGCACCAGTGGTACCTGCAGGTGATTTATGTGATCAGCCCGGAGTCACGGTCCAGCCCCAGGATTCAGCGCTCAGTGACCTATCAGCTGAGTCGCCCCAAACGGGACCTGGTGGACCGCAGCGGGCGTCTGACGCTCGACGAGTCGCTGATCTACGACAACGAGGGCGACCAGGTGAAGAACGGCACCAACATGAAGTCGCTCCGTCTGGAGACCGGGCCCTCCGCCACCTTTAACGCGCACGTGGGCAGCTCGGTGGGTGGGGGCGTGGCCGCCGTCACCATGCTGGTGCTGGTCCTGCTGGCCTCCTGCTTCCTGTTCGGCCGCTGCCGACGCGCCGCCAAGCAGAAGAAGAGCCAGAGCGCGGCTAAAGCCTACGAGGAGTATCCGCTCAACACCAAGGTGGAGGTGTGCATGGACAAGTGTGTGGAGAAGAACTTCAGCACCAAACACTGCACGGTGAGGAACGTCAACATCCTCAACCGCAACCAGGACGCCAACGGCAAGGCCAAGGTCAAGCAGGTCAACCTGGAGGTCAAACTCCACAACAACCTCAGCGACGGCACTGAGGTCTGAAAGACTGATGAGGAAGAGGAGGAGGTAGTAGAAATAAGAAAAAGGTATTTTCTAAAAGAGAGTTTGTACTTACGGAGCGAGATGTTTGTTAATGTATTTTTATACCACTATGAAAAAGGGAAGAGTGTGAAGCGCAGATGGCTACGCGGCATTTGAATCATTTCACAACTGGGCTACCTCAGGAATCCACAAACCACCGAGCTGCACGACAGCAGAATCACCTTCACCTGAACCCGTCGCTCTTTTCATCAAACCCTCTACTTGACATTTTACGTCATATTTAGCTGAGACACTGGAGATTGTTTCGATTAAAAAAACGCTCGCCGCTGCTAAGTGTCGCTGCTGTCGGCTGGCAGTCCGTGTAGAAGTCTTCCTGTTCTTCATCCCGCTGATGAATCAAATCTCAAAACTAAACAGAGCAACGTTTGATTTTCTCACAGAGCGACTTTCGAAGTGAAAGTATCGAGCACATGCTGCTGCTGCCGCCACCCGAGGCCAAGCGAGAGTGAACGAAATGATAAACGACGAATGAGGCCTTTTCAAGTGCAATTAACGCCATAACGTTTTTCAACCCCTTCCTCATGAGCTGGACCTTTTATTTGCATTTTAAACTCGTGTCTTTCATGCCTTACTCCGGATAATTCTTCTTTTTCTCCGACTTGTACTCAGCTGCCAATATTAAGTGCCATGCAGTATTTTTCCTCATGAATTTCAAAGACAACTCATCCGGTGTTTTCTTCGTCCAAGAGTGAGAAGTGGGGAGTTGATGGTTCGGATCCCGTCCAGAGAGTTTTTAGCCTTATCACTGAAAATAATCACTTTTTAAATGATGTATTTTGTAATAGATGTGTGTGTCCGCCTGCCTTTGTTCCGCCCAAAGACACCGAATCTTTTTATTTACACCCTCTATGTATTATTCTTATTATCTTACCCTCTTATGATGTATTATGTTACGCTCAGCTACTGACGATGTTAAGACTACTGTTATTTTTTCAAAGTGTATGACACTGGTTGGAGAGCAAAAAAAAAAAAAAAAAACTCAACTCTCGTTTGAGACGGCTCTTTCTCTCCATTGGTCCCCTTAGATCCCGCCTTCCGTCTTTTTTCAACTGTGTGCCTATCAGATATCGGAATGGGGAATTCTGGGAAATGACATTATATTTTTGGTGCTATCAAAAGAGAATAACTATGATGCTTTCAATATGATGCCTGTATTTGGTGCCTTTTTTGTTAATAAAAAAGAAACAAAACCCACGATTGTTCTGTATTTAATGATAATGATTGCCAACAACGCTCTTCACAAGAG